AGATCTGAGACGCTGACCTGGATGCATTACTCTTTGGGTGCCACTGGGCTCTGTGTGTCCCTGGTAGCCTGAGTTTTCTGGGCACCCTCAGTGCCCTGCCCAGCCAGCTCAAACTGTGTGGCTGGCATACTAAGTCAGTATCAGATCAGCCTTAGCTTAGGCTGGGGGTGCAATCCTTGACTCTATTCAAAACAAATGTATAAAAATAATATCTGCTTGCTGCTATCCAAGCAGTGGAGAAGTGTGTCCGGAGACTCTTCAAAGCACCCCCTCTCCGCCCGAGCCTCCCCGGACCACTCCCCAGGGACAACCACTTAACAGTGCTTTCTCCCAAGGCCCCTTCTTTCCCCTGCCAGTGTTGGGCTGTGTAGGATCCATGCCACAGCAAGGCTATTTTTAACAAGCATCCCAGGCTTCAGGGGGTTGAAGAGAGAGGAAGAAAAAATATTCCATTTGTATATTTTTAATCCATGCACATCTGAGCAGGCAGTGGCTTTCCTGTCCCTGCTGCCAGGGTTGTGGGCAATTGATTAGATGCTGGGCGCCAGGTAATCCTTTCTCTTCCCCTTACAAGGCTACAGGGCTGTGAGGGGTTCAGGCTGTGTTTCCGGCATGCTGGCGACCGCAGCTGGCTGCCTCCTGTTCCTGCTGCCCCCAGACCTCTCCCTCAAGCAGCCTCAAGAATCCTGGCTGGGTCTCCAGGACGGAGAAGGCCTGGGAACTTGAGTCTGTGTGCCAAGCTCATATTTAGAAATGTCTCCAGCCAGACGTTGGCGTCCGCCCTACTTAGGCTCTGGGCATGGGATGCAGTCATGTGTGCTGCCTTCAAGTGGGCAGATTCTGAGTGGGCCCCGGCCCACTGTGAATATAACACAACCCCTTTGTGGCCGGGAGCTGGATGGGGAGCTCATGCTCCTGGATACAGTGGAGGCTGGTGCTGGAGGACCACTAGGCCTAGGGGAGAGGCTCGGACTGGACACATGGTGGTGGAGAAGGTCCCAGCTCCCTGCCCCACCACTACCTACCCATTTTCTGCACTCCATACCCAGGTGTCCAGAGCACTGATCCTGCCTGAGGAAGGGGCCTGCTGCCCCACAGTGGACAGTGCCCCTGGTTGGGCCTGTCTTCTTCCCTTCTCTCCCTTCCCCTCTCCTCTGTTTCCTTCCCATTCTGAGTTCTCAGTCGATGGGACAAAAGAAAGGCCACCGGCAGCAGGGCCTGCTCCATCCCTCCCCTCTAGGGGCAGCCAGCCCCTCAACCTCTATGATCTACTAAAGGTAGCCCAAGGTACCATCATCCCTGAAGGTTCTTGGGTGCTTTAAAAGTGAACAGTGAACCACTCCACCATCTCTTGCTTTTCCATGACAGCACGTGGTGATGGACGAATTAGACCCACTGATACGGGCTTTACATTGTCAACACTCCTAGGTGATAAATACCAAGCGTTCATCCTGTGAAAACTCTGCTTTCCTTTCCAACAGTTCCTTGTTGCGGGATAATTCTGACACATTCACTCATGTCTCAGATATTTAATGAGCATCTATAAGAGCGGACCCTGTCTCCATCAGCCCTAGGGTAGCCAATGAGACCACGCAGCCACCTGTGTGAGATGGGCTAGGAGGCTTTGTGTCCTCAATACATCACGCTGCTCCACCTACCCTCTGCAGGTCTGCCCTGGAGACCCAAGTGGCTTGCTCCAAATACAGCTCTCTGGAGCAAAGGCTGCCTTCTGTAGCCCTGTCTTCTGAGAAAATCCAAATGCAGCAACAGGACTTATGCCTCCAGTCTGGTACCCACCCTGCCCCATCCTTCCCACATCTCAGGGGACAAAGGCTCCCAGAAGTGGTCATGAAGATTGAGCAGGTATTTTCTTTGTCTTTCCTGGGAGCAACATGGTAAATCTGCCAAAACTGAATGAATAGAGGGGTGGACAAACAGACAAGTGAGCAAACCAGTGAAGGAACAAATGGAGACTCAGTCTCTGCTCCAAAGGAATGTAAAATCCAGGTGAAAGAGACTACAGGACACTTTCGTGGGAAGGATGCCACAGACTCAGAGGAGGGTGGCTGCTTCCAAACCAGTGACATATGGCAGAGGTCAGAGAATGGTGAGATCTGGAACCCAACGCCTAGCTTCCCTGAGTGTCACTTGTCCTTGGGAAATGTGCCTTTTCATATGGTTGGGAGTGGACAGTGCAATTTTTCTTTGAGGGTTAATTGTTTGGCTGACAGCACAGATAATTAGGAATGAGAATCCTGGAGTGAGGGCGACAGCACCATCTGCTGTGAATATGTTTCAGCCCCGTGTTGCAGGAGAGCTATGATGTGCTGCCCCTGTACCCTCTCACCCCACAAAGACACGGGTGCTCTAGCTGTTTGCTGCTGGCCCCCAGGGGACCGTGTAGCCAGTGGCCTGGGATGGTGACAGGCTTCTTAAGGGTTCAGTGTCTTCTCCCTCCACAGTGGCAACTATTAAGACTCCAAGGTTGAACAAGGACTCAGCACTAATACCAAGGGGTTGATTTTCTGCTCCTCCCTGTGGTCTGGTCCTCACTCAGCTGGAGGTGGACATTGGCTTCTGTTGATGTTCTGGGTCCTTTTCCTGCACAGCTATATGGATCTCCACCTGCCCCGGGCTTGCTGAACTGTGGCCTGTGCTGCTTGTTGCAGAAGGAGGTTGATCCTGGCTTCCGTGGCCAGGCAGGGATGTCCTAGGTGTGAGTTCTCTGTGCTGATAGAAGCTGAGCTGCTTTGGAATCACACTGAGAATCCCACACCCAGGAGCAGCTGAGCCCTTTCTTCACAAGGGTAGAGTTTCGTGTTTTTCCCTTTTCCTTTGTATTTCTAGGAATGTGTACTTACGTAGAAGAGCACGTGAAATGCATGTGTGCCTTTGGAAAGTAGTAATAATGGCTGCCTTGCTTTTCAAATCTTCTGGCTGCATCTTGCCTTGCAGAGGAGCCCTTGGAGGCAGAGCTGTGGAGGCCAAGTGGCCTGAAAGTTCAAGATCAGCCCAGCCACCTCCCCTGGTCTGTGGTTCTTTATCACAACTGATTTCCTCATTCCCACCCACCCCCGCAGCTTCTATTAACTCGCACCTCCCAGGCCCTGGCTTCCCTGTTTCTCACTCTGTTCTGCACTTTCTGCTCCCAGACCCTCCTATGGGGAAGAAACCAAAGGCATGGTTGTTCTCCTCCTCATCCTCCCTTCCCCCAAGCCAGGCAAGCTGCCATTGTTCCCTCCCCTTTCTACTCCCACTCATCCCCACCCCTGGGGCCATTTGGCAGAAGATGAAATGGACCTAGCATCAGGGAATTTGCTGGAAAGAATGGTTACTGGAAGTCTGAAATACCAATCTTGACTCTTTCACCAACTTACTGTGTGACCTTTAGCTAGCTTCTCAACCTCTCTGTGCTTCTGTTTGAGGTACCCCTTGACAGAATCACTATGAAACTGAGTGGTTGCCATGGATGCGAAAGCAGCTGGAAGGGTGTTAGTCATGATAAGTGTGGCATGGAATACATTGTCGTCATCATGCTCACAGTCCCAGGCAGGTGGGACTCCATCCCTTCCTTTGCTACCTTACCCTGTCTACGTGCTTCCTCTTGTCTGCCGTGCTGGATAGACAGGCAGCTGCTCTCTACTTGCCACAGCATCTTCTCAGCAGTGGGCCCATTGAGGTCCAGAGGAGCTGAAGGTTGGAGTGGAGCTCCTGCCACCAGCCAGGCCTGGTGAGAGGTATGGGGCTGTGGTCACTGGGGTCTAGTGTCCAGAGACAAGCTTGGGCAGAGTGGCTTGTGCTGGAGGCCTTCTGGCTCCTCCCAGCAGAGTGAGCCATGGTCACGGTCATCGTGACCATGCAGTAACTCTGCGAAACCAGTGTCCCTGTCGCTCACCCTGAGGCAAGTGCTTCTCTGCTCTTGCCTCTCACCTTGAGACATAGGTCTGCAGAAGGACGTTTAGCAGCAGCCATAGGTGGGGTGAGCTTTCTGGAGGCCTCCAGACCACAGCTCATGGAAGCCTTGCTTCAGGGCCTGGCCAGCAGAGTGGAGGAGTATTCCTTGGCACGCAGGGCTTATTCTTTCACATTCCATTGGTGGAGCGAGAGCATGCATTTCCTTCCTCTCCCCTGGGGCAGATGCATGATTCAGAGGTTCTGTTAGTGGGCCTGAACACTTAAAGATGACTAGCATTTGGATGCATGATGGGAAGGTGGGTCTTTCAGGCAGACAGAATGAAATATGCAGAGGTAAGAAAACAGGACCAAAGAGCTAGGTGCACTGGCATATGCTTGTAATCCCAACTACTTAGGAGGCAAAGATAGGAGGATAGAGGTTGAGGGCCAGCTTGGGCAAAAAGTTAGGGAAACCCTACCCCAAAAAGCAAGTTGGTGCCAGACACCAAGGTCTCACACCTGTAAACCTATCTACTTGGGAGGCTGAGATCAGAAGGATCATGGTTCAAGACCACCTGGGCAAATAGTTCTCAAGACCCCATCTCCAAGAAAAAAGCAAGTTGGGCATGGTGGTTGGTGGTTGCTCCTGTAATTCCAACTACTCATGATGCAGAGATAGGAGAATCACAGTACAGGCTAGCCTGGGCAAAAAGTGTAAGACTATACCTAAAAAACAAACTAAGCAAAAAGGAATGGGGTGTGACTCCAGTAGTAGATCTCTTACTTAGCAAGCCCAAGGTCCTGAGTTAAATCCCTGGTAACACACACACACACACACACACACACACACACACACACAGAGAGAGAGAGAGAGAGAGAGAGAGAGAGAGAGAGACAGAGAGAGAGACAGAGAGAGAGGAGGACATGTGTCCTGTGGACCCTGCCAGTGAAATCCCTGGATGACACAGAGCTGGTCTAGTCAACCAGGCATTGCAGGATCTAATAACAAAGAGCAATGAGAGGATGACTAGAAGATTCCAGAACACTTTACATCTGGATGTGTGTCTTTGACCCTGATGGTGACAGTCCTCTTGTTCTTCCTGCAGATTTCCTCTGAAGCTGCTGGGAGCTCAGTTTCCCCCATCCCTGAGGAGGAGGACCGTCAGAAGAGAAGGAAGGGATGGCGTGGAGCCCACTCAGCGCCTAAGGAGTGGATCTCCAAGTGGGGAGCTGCACCACTGGGGTGACTCAAGAAGAATCGATGCTTTGGCCCCTGGTGACATGTACACGGTGTAATGACAGGTAACGAACCTGAAGCTTGTCTATCCTTCTTGAATGATAAGGCAGGAGGGAGAATACATCAGCCTGCAGTAGACGTACAACGTCAACCTCGGGAAGATAACTATGCAGACACAGCACAGGAAGGCCTGATCAGATGATCGATGGATGCTTTATGGTTATTAGTTTTTGCCCATGTTCTTGCTGGAGCCAAGCACCGGAAGATTTAGCATCAGCTGGGTTCACTTCCTATGCCTTGTGGGAAGGTCTGATACCTTTATGAATGTAGAGCATCTTATTTGAGGAACTCAGAGTAACAAATCAGGAAGTCATTATTCCCATTAGCTCCTATGTGGGGTAGTAGTTTATGCCAGTGGGGAAACAGAGGCAGCAGAGAGCAAGGGAACTCTTTCACGCGTCTGTGATGCATGGGGAACTTGCTATTTGGGTACACTTCAGGTTTGGTTTAGATACCTTGAGTGACAGATTGGTGAAGGTTCAGTGTTTCTCACTAGAAAAGAAAAAGAGGGCTTGTGGCTCCCCCCGATCCTTCAGGGCATATGGCAGATGATGGAAGGTGGCTGGGGAGGTCATGCATCTGCAGGGGATGTGCAGGGTCTGGCAGACACCTTAGGTTTAGCAGCTGATCCTGGAACTTAGCCAAGACAGGAAGCATGGAGCAGGTCGCTAGGGTCTAGAGATGAGAAGGACAGGGGGCCACTAGGACTGGAGACCTGGAAGGTGAGCTCTGATCTATGCTGAGCCTGGTCCTGCCGGCTTTCTGGTCAGTACCATGCCAAGTGCTGCTCTTGCAACTTCCACTATGGGGAACATGGCATACTGAGACAGAAGCAAAAATTCATAGAGCTTTGGGAAAATGACCAGAGCAAGGGGGTAGGACCAATGGCTGGGATCAGGAGGCCCAAGAGGGTCAGAGTCAGGGTCCCCAAAGTCAGAGCCAAGAGCTGGGGAGGGACAGAGCATTAGGACTCCTGGGTGGCCGTGTTTTAAATCGGGCAGAAAGAACAAGTTGAAGGAAACCAGAAAACTGAGCCCAGATCTAGGAAGTGGATTGGCCACAGGCACAGCCTAGGATTTGACTCTTGTCTACACAGGAAGTGGAGGAGACAGAGTTCCCAGGGCTGGAAGGACTTAGCTAGGGAACAGACAGTTCCTCAGGTGTCTGGGCTAAGTATGACCTTGAGGTGCTGGGTCTGCTCTTCCCCAACACCTCACCTCTCAGTGGGGCAGCTGGGGTGCACAACTTAGGCTGGGCAGGGCTGACCCTGGGGGGCCTTTCAGTGGGAGGAGGTAAGAGGCCAGGGTAATGAAGGCAGCAAAGGTCCAGCCCTACAGAAGATGGGCAAGGATTCCCCTGTGCTTGTGGCCTCAGGAGGAGGACAGGGCAGCATGCCTCCTGGTCCAGGTGAGGCAGAGTAGAAGTTCCTTAACCAATTTGACCAGTATTTGCCACGTACCTATAATGCACAGGACAGTTCTCTAGATGCCAGAAATGCAGAGACTGAGGCACAGTCTGCTCCCAGGAGAGGAGATGTGGGGCAGGGGATAAAACACAGAGTCAGGTCCAGGCCTCTGTGAGCTTTAGGCTTCTGTTTTCAAAATGGAGACAGCTCTGTCTCACTCATAGGCCAGTCAGGTGCCAGGGGCTGGCACCTGGATGAATGTAATGTGCTCAATACATTTAGTTTACTTCCATTATCCAGCTCTGGGAGGAGCTCAGGGTCTGGCGAAAGGGGAGGGAAGCAGACTAGGAGAAATTTATTCTGACCATGGTCTTCTGATGGCTAACAACTTTGGAAACCTGGTGATCAGAACTCCTCTGGCCACAGGAAATGGGGCTTAAGGTGGGTGCTTGCACTCAGAGCTGGCGACCACAGTTGAGAGCTGTGGCAGAAGTTGGGCATGGAGAACGAGAGGCAGGAAGGGCAATCCAGGAATCTGGAGAAGTGTTGAGAAGAGAAGACTTTTCCCCAAGGCTTGCATCTTGACTCCTTGCTTCCAGCACAGTTCTGCAGGGTGGGGACAGGGAGGGGGGTGTACAGAAGCCTAGGCAAGACTGGAGACCCAGAGTGGGGTGCCCAGTAATGTGTGAGAGTGGGCCACAGGTTTGAGCCAAGCCATTCATTTTCAATTTACGTAAAATTGATTTTCAAAATGTATTTCATTTAACTCAATATATCCCGAATGATATCATTTCGACATGTAATCAGTATAAAAATTTTGAAGGAGAAATGTTTCCTTTTTTCTCATATGAGGTCTTTGAAGTCCAGGCATATTTTATTTATGCTTTGCTAGGTTAGGACTGGCCACATTTCAGGTGTCCAGTAGCCACATGTGGCTGGCACTGGGCTGCCTAACAGATCTGGAGGATCTAGAACCTCACAGAGGAGCCAGGCAGGTCCTGAGCTGAACAACAGGATTTACAGTTAAGTTACCTTCTTCTGAATGGCTTGCAGTGATTCCCTGGAGAAACTGCTTGAATAAAAGAGGTGTCTTCCATCACTTGTTCTGAATGGGGACTTATGATCTGGGAGCCACCTTGGCTCCAGGCTCCCCAACTGGATCCAGACTTGGCCATTGGCAGTTCTGGAATCAACTTCAGCCAGAGCTTCAGAAGTGTCACCAAAAGTGGAACTAATAATCTCTATCTTGCTGTGTAACTATAAGGACTAGATAAAATGCTGAATAATTACTGTGTGATGCTTGATGTCAAGAAATAATTCTTATGTTCCTAAATCAATGAAAACAAAACTAAGTGTTCTTACAGGCAGAACTTGGCAGCATTCTTTGGTCCCTACCCTTCAGTACATGAGAAGCTTGGAGCTTTGTAGCTCAGGAAAATGGGGCAGGTTGAGGGATGCCTGGCTCCTTAGGCTGCAATGGGGAGCTGTCAGTGGCCGTTCTGATGTAAACCCACTTGACTCATCTAGAGGAGGCAGGACCCCGCCGCTGGCTTGTGGCCCTCTAGGGTGTCACCATCACCAAAGTGCATGCAGTGGGGTGAAGGTTACCAGCAACTCTGGGACCCAAGTCATCACAACCATCGTGAGGCTCCTACCCAAGGAATCCCATTCCGATATCCTTCCTGGAAAGCTGTGTGTCCTTTGGCCCTTTCCTGTCTGTCTCCAGCCTCTGCCTTTGAAATAAAGGCTGGGCCCTACCTTGCCTGCGCCCTTCCTTTCCATAGCCGTGAAAATACAGATAACGCCTGCTTCAGATAAGAGAACCCAAGACTCCTTGTCACAAAATATGGCTGTTCTTTCTGGGGATGGGGGGAGTACTTCCTGTTATTCTGTGTCTAGCATCTGTAGTCACCACAGGCACCCCAGCAACAGCAGAAAGCAGCAATTGCTCCACATTTCTATCAACATAGCATTTGAGGTCAGCACTCCACAAGGTCAAGTTCCCCTGTTCCCAGCTCCATCTAAAGAATGCATTAAATAATTTCTGCCTCCTGGGTTTTTCAAGTCTCAGATGAGCTACTCTACTGTGTGTGGAGGCCTTTGTAAAGTTATCCAGCATTGTTGTTGGCCTGGGAACTGGGTTGAGGCTGTCTCCTTGATTCAGAAGGTGTCCCTTCTCTAGGCCTCTCATGACAGCCCCAGGTACTGTCCTCTCCTAGCCACCGACTCAGCCCAGCAGCGGGCTTCTGCTTCCCACTGCCTACTCTCAAGGGGCCCAAGCATTCCAGGCTGTCATGAATTCTAAAAGACCCCTCCAATCCAGTGTCACTGTGACTTAACGTCTACTTTAGAAGGTAGCCTGTGGCATATTAGGGTGACAGCCTGTGTGAAGGGTGGTGTTACAAAATCTAGCACAAGTAGGTACAATGGTGGTCACTCTTAGTTTGTGGCATGACCCTGGGTAGATTTCTTAACTTTGTGGGCCTTAACATCCTCCTCTGTTAAATGGGCGTGAGCAATTGTGCTGTAGTGATTTAACCCTGTGGTCAGGTGGACATGCATCCTGAAAGCAAGAGGCTCTATCGCTCTTGTGTCCCAAGATTGGTGAGAACTATGGCAATGCCCTTTTCCTTGCTAAACCTGCAGTGCCATTCCCTGCAAAATCAATTTTTGTACTGCTTCCCGGGGGCCTGCAGGGAGCAGCTCTTCATGTATCACCTTAAGTTTTGCATCAGGAAGAGGCAGAAAGCCACATTGCCCTTGACTGACAACCTTCATATGTGTACTTAACAATTTAAATTTTTCATGATTCTTATGATAAAAATAGTCCCCAACTAAAAACAAATACATTTGTATTTTCCATCTCCTTAATTAGTTTCTAATTTGGGGGTTCTTATTAGCTTAAAATCATCTCACTGAAATGGTCCTCCAATGGTAAAAAACATGAAAAGCACAATCAATTCCGGAGAGATTTTCCTATTTAATTATGCTGATTAGGGCACTAGAGACCCCTGGCAATATGAACCTCTCAGAATAAGCTTGATTTGAGCAATTTGGCTTTTAAAATTTTTGGATGCATATTTATTATGTTCAATTCTGGGTTGTTGTGTTCTCCTTGACTTGTCTCCAGAGATGTGGGAGGAGGAATCCAGGGACTGTTGAGACCCTGAGACTTCAGCTGTAAAAGTGGGCCAATCCTATGTTTTTTTAGAGATGTATCCAGAGCAAAATTCTAGAATATGATATGACTTTGGAGGCACTGGGGAATCCCAGTTTGTCAAAAAGATTTGTCTTTCACCTTTCAAACCCATGGATCAGTATCGTCTTTGCTGAAATTTGTTGACCAACTGAGAATGGTGGTTGTGCTTGCCGTCCCAGCTACTCAGGAGGTTAAGGCAAGAGGATCTCATGTTCAAGTCCAGCTTGGGCAACAGAGTGAGACCCTGTTTAAAAGAAGAAACCTTGTAGCTCAGTGGTAGAGCACTTGACCCTAGGTTTGATCTCCAGTAAAACACCACACACACACACACACACACACACACACACACACACACACACAATTGTTGGGGTTAGGTGATCAGATGGCAGTGACAAAGGGAG